ACTAGAATCACCTGGGAATCTTTTTCAAATCCTGATTTCTGGGCCTCATCCTCCGGAAATTTTGTTTTTTTGTTATGGGGTGGGTCCACAACATTAGTAACAAAGAAACAGAATTTCCGGAGGATGAGGCCCAGAAATCAGGATTTTAAAAAGATTCCCAGGTGATTCTAATGTGCAGCCAAGGTTGAGAACCACAGTTTTAGATGGTTCTTTCCCCACTTTGGGGAGTTGCCTCACACCTGTGTGCTGATCAGGCCTCAGCTGACTGTCACGGGAAACCCTCTGGAGATTCCAGAGCGTTCCCTCCTGTCCTGGGCTCTGTCCTGCAGACTAGCTGCCGTGGCCTCCCAGGACCCCCCACTCCCCCTCCTCAGCTCCAGGAGACAGCCAGGCTCAGCCTGCGTTCCTCCTGCCTGCACCCGGACACCCGCAGGCCACACGCGGGGCCACGCGGAGCTCACCTGGCTTGTTTTCAGGGTTCCCAGGATTACTGTCCCGGGCTGCTGATGGCCAATGTTCAGACGCCATTGTTTCATGTACTCCGGCCAGGATTTTGGTTATTAAACATGGGAAGGTTTACAGCAAGACTCACAACATCAAAATGAGCAGCGGAGCCTGGCCCGGTGGCTCAGTGGGTTGGAGCATTGTCCCATGCACCAAAAGTTTGGGGGTTAAATTCCTGGTCAGGGCACATACCTAGGTTTTGGGTTTGATCCCTGGCTGGGTGTGTACAGGAGGCAACCGATCGATGTTTCTCTCTCTCTTTCTTGCCCTCTCTCTTCCTCCCTCTCTAAAATCCATAAACATATCCTCAGGCGAGGATAAAAATGAATAAATAAAATGAACAGAGGGTCTGAAATAGATATTTTTCCAAAGAAGACATACAAATGACCAACAGGCTCAGGAAAAGATGCTCAACATCACTGATCATCAGGGAAATGCACATCAGAACCACAGTGAGGTATCACCTCCCACCTGTCAGAATGGCTACCAGCAAACACAGAAGAAACAAGTGTCAGCGAGGATGCAGAGAAAAGGGAGCCCTGGTGCACTGTGGGTAGGACTGTCAATTAGTGTAGCCATTAGTGTAATGGAAAACAGCATGGAGATCCCTTCAAAATTACAATAGAACTATTATATGGCCCAGCGATACCTCATCTGGACAGTTATCCAGAGGAAATGAAGTCACTGTCCTGAAAAGATATGTGCACCCCCATGTTCATGGCAGCATTGCCTGCAATAGCCAAAATGTGAAGATAACCTTCGTGTTCATTGACGGATGAATGGGCAAAGAAAATATATTATTCGGCCAATAAAAGAAGAATATCTTGCCAGTTGAGACAACATGGAGGGACCTTAAGGGCATTGTGCTAAGTGAAGTAAATCAGACACAGAAAAACAAATACTGTATCATATCACTTATATGTGAATTCTAAAAACAACAAATTCATGATGCAGAGAATGGGTTGGTGATGCCAGAGGCAGGGGGTTGGGGTGGGTGAAATGGGTGAATGTGGTCAAAAGGTAGTAAACTTCTAGTTATAAAGTAAGCAGTCCTGGGATGTACAGTGTGGTGACTATAGTAATAATACTATGTTATTTATTTGAAAGTTGCTAAGAGAGTAAATCTTAAAAGTTCTCATCACAAGAAAAAATAATGTGTAACTACATGTGGCGATGGATGTTAACTAGACTTATTGTGGTGATCATTCTGCAATATATACAAATACCCAGTCATTATGTTGTACAGCTAAAACCGATACAATGTTATATGTCAACTATATCTCAATTTTTTAAAATCCACATAAGAAAAAGCTGAGAAACAAAAACGGAGCAAGGAAAAACCATGGTAAAGGTATAGCACAAAAGAGGATAATAGGAAAGAATCCAAGTGTGGAATTAATCACAAATATAAATGGATAAAATTCATTGATTAATAGAGCATCAGCTTTTTAAAAATGCAGGTGTAATAAGCCGTAGCCAGTTTGGCTCAGTGGATAGAGCACCAGCCCACAGACTGAAGGGTCTCAGGTTCGATTCCAGTCAAGGGCATGTACCTCGGTTGCAGACAGAGGCAACCAATCGATGTGTCTCTCTCACATTCTCTCTCTCTGTCTCCCCATAAACACTCTCTCTAAAAATCAGTGGAAAAATATCCTTGGGTGAGGATTAACAACAACAAAAATGCAGGTATAATAAGCTGCTTATTAGAGACACACTCATACCATAGAAAGGCTGAAACTAAAGGTGTAAAAACATGTAAGTCCAAAGGAATTTATTAGGAAAAAAAGTGAATCACATAATAAGGATAGAAAGTATACCACCAAGAACACATAACAGTTCTAAGCTTGTCCTCAATGGCAGTCTCAAAATATAAATAAAAATAGGTAAAATTACAAGGAAAAAATTTAAAATCTACTGTCAAAGGGAGATTTTAACAAAATTACCTCAGTAAGTGATAAAAAATGGGCATCCCCTAAAAACAATAAGGATATAGAAGATTTGAAAAATAAAAATATAACAAGCTTGATCTAATGTACTAGTATATGTGTGTATAGACTATCATATACAGATAGTATATTATCTATTATAGTGTATCTATTATATCTATTTTAGGTACTATATGATCTATTATATACATGGATATCTATTATACATAGATATTATATTCATACTATTATATGCAAACTAGATAATACATGTACCTCATAGATAATCCTATATAATAAAAGCATAGTATGCAAATTGTCCCCTCGACCAGGAGTTCGACCAGGGGGCAGGGCTGGCCAGGGGAAGGGAGGGAGTACCCGCTGGCAGCCAGCAGCCAGCAGCCGGCAACCACTAGGGACCCTACCAGTGCACGAATTTCATGCACTGGGCCTCTAGTATATTTATAATAGATATTCTAATATATGTAGATAGATCTGAAGTAGGTATAACAAAATTTTAAGATT